GTAAGGAAGAAGAACATTATGACTCATAATCTGAAATCTGCAAAATGTTTAAATGACAATAAATCGGATTTTGATGACAAAATGGATGTTTCTAATGTTGAGAGTAACAATGAAGATGATGTTAATGATAGAGGTATAAGTAAAACTTATATTAAAAAATATATAAGAATAACATTAATAAAACAAATGCATTATATTTCACAGAGAATTCAAATTTTGTACATAAAGTTGATCGCATTATTAAATGTGAAAGTGAATTACAAATGACAGATGATGAAGGAGCAAACATAGCTAAACACAATACAGCTTGCAAATCACAGATTAAATTGAAAAAAACAAAACATGAACCGAAAACACGATTTTCTGAGATCGATGTTGTTAATTTAAGTGACGATGAGGAGGGAGTATTTCCATATTCCCAGTTATTTGATATCAAATATGATGATAATACAGAGAACAAGATAGAGATAAAACAGGAATGTACCAACGATGATGAACCAAACACCGAGAAAATTGGTCTGCTAAATATCGACGATGAGGTCATTATTTTAACAGACAGCGAAGATGAAGATAATCCATGGTTGGAACGATTATCCAGAAGTCAATTACTCAACGAAGATATAAAACCTGTTTTATGTGATTCGATTGTAAAAGATGAAATCGATTTAGGTATTTGGGATGATGAAATTTTGAATATCGAATCATCTGAGATAATCAAACAGTCCGAAATATCGTGTACTTTCCAGGTTCCTTGTAGTAAAGAAATGTTTTGTGAACCACATACAAGCATCGATGTTAGAATTAAAAACAAAAAAGATGATTATAGTACTAATTTACCGACCCCAAGAGTGGATGCGATGGATATAGACGAAGCAGGCGCTTCTAATGATTCTAATACGAGAGATATTAATAAAAACAAACAAATTAGTGATATCAATATCAAAATGTCAAAATCAATATCAATTAATGTCAAAAAGAAACAGAAAACACATGCGAAACAAGATCCAGAACTAGATAAACAAACAATAGAAAGTGTAAAACAAAAATTAATTGCACCGACAACAGAAGGTACGATGGATGTAGACGAGGCAGGCGCTTCTAATGATCATAGAACGAGAGATATTGATCCAAATAAACGGATTATTGATGTTAATATTAATGTCAAAAAGAAACAGAAAACTTATGCAAAACAAGATCTAGAACTAAATAAACAAACAATAGAAGGTGTAAAACAAAAATTAATTGCACCAACGACAGAAGTAGATACGATGAATGTAGACGAGGCAAGTGCTTCTAACAGTCTTGGTACGAGAGATATTGATGCAAACAAATGGATTATTGATATTAATATTAATGTAAAAAAAAAACAGAAAACTCGTACAAAACAAGATCTAGAACTAAATAAACAAACAATAGAAGGTGTAAAACAAAAATTAATTGCATCGATCACAGAAGTAGATATGATGGATGTAGACGAGGCAGGCGCTTCTAATGATTCTAATACGAGAGGTATTGATGCAAACAAACAGATTACTGATATCAACATTAATATCAAAAAGAAAACAGAAGCAAAACCAGGTATAGAGTTATTGAAACAAACAATAGAAACTGTAAAACAAAAATTAATTGCACCAGCCATAAAAGTAGATGCGATGAATGCAGATAAGGCAAGCCCTTCTAACGATCGGAATATCAGAGATGTTAATAGAAACAACCATATTACTGATGTCAAAATTGATGACAAAAAGAAAACAGATGCGAAACAAAGTATAGAATTAGCTAAACAAACAACAGAAAGTGTAAAACAAAAATTAATTGCATCGACCACAGAAGTAGATGCGATGGACATAGATGAGCCAAGTTCTTCTGACGATTTTGATATCAGTAATATTGATAGAAGCAAACAGATTACAGATATCAATATTGACAAAAATAAACAGAAAACAAATGTGAAACAAGATAGACAGTTAGATAAGTTAGAAAGTATAAAACAAAAATTAATTTTAAAGTCCCAAAAAAAACTGATTCGAATAGAACCATTAAGTTTACCTACACGAAGAAGACGATCTGATCGTAGTAAAGACAGAGCAACAAAAGTACATGAAACTTCACAATCAAGAATAACAACAAAAGAAAAGAGCGTGTCGAAATTAAAAGTAAAACTTAAAGATAATCTTTATAGTAAAGAACAAAAAGAGAATAAGGACCGCAAAGACAAATCTAAATCGGTAACTGACAATTCCCCGTCAAGTGAAGCAAAATCTGGGCTATCAATTTCTAAGGATGAAAAAAAGAAAATAATCGAACAGAGAAAGATGAAATTGAAGGAGATTGCTACGGAAGAGAAGAAGCTGGCCGCCGAAAGCGATCAAAATATTAAACGTAGAAATAAACCGAGAGCTAAAGTATCCTTTAAAACTCGTGGCGATTTTCTCATTACTGAACAAGAACCACGAGTATCTAAATCGCTTCCAGATAAACCCGCAGAATTATCAAAATCAAGTGATCACTCTAAGAAGCAATCAAGAGATACAACTAATGTATTAAAAGAATCTACAATTTCCGATAAGAAGACACAGAATTGTCAAAAAACGGACGTTTCTAAGGATACAGTAAATAACATCGCCGCATCATTGCAACAGTCCTTATATTTAAATAATATAAACACTTCGTCTGAGAAAAGTATACTAGATTTCAAAGCGACCAATGATAATAAAAAGAAACGTAGCAGTAGCAAGGATATTACAAAAAGGAGCAATATTAATACTGATCCTACTTTTAAAGTGTCAGAATTGCGAGATAAATCGACCGAACGTAGTTCTGTGGTACAAAAAGAAAATTTTTCACCAAATAGTTTGAAATCGAAGCTTTTAAAGTCGAGTATAAAACCGAAGAAAATTAAAAAAGTGACCTTTGCTGATATATTATTCGAAATACAGGAATACGACATCGACCAAAGCAATTCTTTAAAGAAATTAGTAGGAGCAGATTGGTGTCCGAAACTGGAAGAGTTCCTACTTCGCATTTTTATGTGGAATCCTGTGTGGCTCGAAGAGCAGCGCTATCTAAAGTGCGATCCGCCAATAATATCGGAGGATGAACTTCAGACTATGAAACTATCTTACGATTCTTATGAACAGTATTACAAAGTCGCGATGCCTCTTCTATTACTTGAGATGTGGTGCATCATGACTAAAGATTTCGAAATGATTCAGAAGAATATGCAACGTACTACCGTAATGTGTTCTATAGTTGAAAATTCTATTACGCATACCCCTATACCGTCGACTAATTTATTCTTGTCGAAATTGACTCTTGAAGTGCTAGTCAATAGAGAAGATCTAAATAAACAAAATCATCCTATTTACGGAGATCTGGTATATCTTGAGTATGTCAACAATGAACATGGTAAACAAATCTTTCACAAGATATTCGCATATGTCATCAACATGCAATACACGGTTATCACAGACTCCATGTGTTATAATAGCGATTTAAAGAATTATGTAAAAGATCCATATACAATTATAAGGTACAGCGTGTGGACACGACCTCTTGAACACATCATCGTAAATAGAGTGCAAAGACTCCGAACGGTCACGTATTTGCGATCGAATATCAGAATGGTGCAGGCATTACAATATCTCCCTCATTCACCCCTGTCAAAGTTGATTGTGACTCCGAAGATTGAAGACTATCAATTACCACCACTAAATGAACACTTTACATCTTCGTCACTGGTAACAAAAGATGATTTAAATCCGAAGCAATTAGAGGCTGTATTTCGGGTAACGAATGCTGTAATAAAGAAAGAGGCCAAATTATGTTTTATTCAGGGCCCACCGGGGACGGGCAAGTCTAAAGTTATTGTGAATCTGGTGACTCAAATATTATATGGTGGATGTCAAGACAAGAAATCTTTAAGAATCCTGATTTGCGCACCATCTAATGCCGCTATTGATGAAATCGTGATAAGGCTTCTACATATCAGGTCTTTCCTAAAACAGAAACGTTTTAATATGGTACGCATTGGTCGATCAGAGTCTATGCACCCAAAGACTAAAGACATTTCTGTACCACAGATAGCGAAACGCCACCTAATAAACATAAGTAAACAAGTAAAAACAACGAATAACAACATTGAAGATTTATCAATTTTACAAGCGCATATTAATTCGTTTACTGCTGAACTTGAAAGCATCCAAAACGAACATGAAGAAAAGAAGTATTCACTCAATAGAAGACTATTTGAAACAACGGTGAAATACGCACTTATGAAATCTAATAAATCGATAGACGAGATCAATTCAAAGGAGCGCGCCAAGTACCAGCGTATGTCAGAAAATATAGTTCTTCAGGGTGCTAATATAATTGCCTGTACACTTTCGTCTTGTTACACTAATCAAATGGAATCGCTCTTTGGGGGTCATAACGAAAGAATATCTGTATGCATCGTTGATGAGGCGACGCAGAGCTGCGAAGCAGAGACTTTGATACCGTTAATGTTGGGGGTGAATACATTGGTTCTGGTAGGTGATCCGAATCAACTTCCAGCAACCATTCTAAGCCAACGAGCGAAGAAATTGGGATTAGATCAATCAGTATTTTCTAGGATGCAAAACGTTTTCGCGTCTCAATCGAACAGTCCAATTATAATGTTGGACACACAATATCGTATGGAGTACGCGATCTCGTATTGGCCTAATAAATACTTCTACGGTGGTAAATTGAAAAACGCTGCCGATTATAGAATGAAATTTCCATTTCATACATACAGAGTTTTGGATCATACCTTTACTCAGAATTATGATAAATTTTCCAACACTACTGAAGCGGAATTTGTGGCCAATATAATTTATACAATGTTGAAGTTCGCCAAATGGGAATCAACAAGTGCTATTATTACTCTCGGAGTTCTCACACCATATAACAATCAAAGAACTCTTATACTAAATAAAATAAACGAAAAGTACGTGTGTGCAAAAGTAATAGTTTCCGTAACTTATAAAGAAATCGTAATTTACAATTTATATGTTTTTTATAGGATATCGCCTGTACCGGATGACATCAAAAAGAAAATTAGTTTTGAAGTTAATACGGTCGACGGTTTTCAAGGTCAAGAGCGAGATGTTATAATAATGTCTTGTGTGAGAAGCAGTGGTATTGGATTTTTATCAGACAAGCAAAGACTCTGTGTAGCACTTACAAGAGCTAAACATAGTCTAATATTATGTGGAAATTTTCATACTTTCATGGTAAGCGAAGAATAATCTTGAAATTTTTAATTTTCGAAGTAGTGAGTGGTTGCGCTATTGGATATCCACTAGTCTCATTCCACAAAATGGTCATTTCTGCAACTGTTGGAAGTTTTCTTTACTGAGATAGGACTATTCCTCTAGATTTGAAAGTATAATTCAATTAGAATGCAAAGAAAATTATTGTGAAAATTTGTGCTACTCTTTATATTTTAATTAACCAGCAAATTTTTGCTTTGCAGAAAGATAAAATGTGGAAGGCATTGTTAACTGACGCACGAAATCGTGGAATTCTATGTCGTATGGATGCTAATGCGACACCTAGTATGATTCAAAAATATATCGTTAAGTAAAGAATTTATTTGTAAAGTTTTACTTAATATCATGAGTAATTATTTTTTTTGTACGGTTTGTATATTTTGTAAATATTTAGGCTAAGTTTAAGTATTTAAGGGCCATGGCACACAAAAAACTTAAGGCAGCAAGACGTAAGCGGTAAGGAAATCAACATGTTGGATTGGCAACTGCTTATATTATGGCGTTACAGACTCTACTGTGATTGATCAATTCGCTTACTGCTTACGTTTTAATGCTTAAGTTTTTTTGTGTGCCACGGCCTTAAAGCGCTTATAATGAAAAATGTATCAACTGAGTCTCAAAGAATGTTTATTTGAGGTAATGTTTCAGAATCGTAGTCATAAATAATGAGACATATGAATACTGATTCTATTACCAATGTGTTAATTGTTTGCATTGGACACATCTCATGCGGGATCTACTTCAATCTTCAACCTCAATCTTCAATGCATAGTCTGATTCCGGCCTTATTGTTACTATTGGGCCGGAATCAGACTTATCAGACTATGCATTGAAGATTGAGATTGAAGATTGAAAAATTCAAATTTGACCAATCGAAATGAAAGGACTCAAATTTTTTTGTCCTTATTGGTCAAATTTTAATCTTCAATCTCAATCTTTAATGCGTAGTCTGATTTCGGTCTTACGGAAGATGTGTGCCATGGCCTTAGGGCCCCCGCAGACAAAATTTCTGTAACAGTAACCTTAAGACTTGAACTTAAGCTGATGAACTAATCAGGATACTGCTTTAGATTTACGTAATCTAACAGAAATAGAAATAGCAATAAACTTATCCATAAGGCGAGTTTCAACCGGTTGAAATTGCCTTACTGCGAGGTTATGGATAGATTTACTGTTATTTCCATTTCTGTTAGATTATGTAGATCTAAATCAATGGCTGCGTTCAGCAGACTCAACAGTTTTGCAACCGTTTTATGATTGTCTGCTGAGATAGGACCATTCTTCTAGATCTAAAAGTATGATCCAATTAGCGCGAAGGAAACTTCCAACAGTTGCAAAACAAACGTTCTGCTGAACGCAGCCAATATCCTGATTGGAATACCGGCCTTAGTGTACTTGCTGTGTACAGCGCATGCGCACCGCACTCGAGTACACTGTGGAAGTGAGAGATCCGATATTCTCTATCTCGCTATCTTTGCACACCTTCCACTCCCAAAAAAGGCTGCGTTAGCAATATAGGAGTATTACATATATGTCAGTGAGCAATTATGCTTCTGATGCAGTCATTGGGCGCATTCAGCAGACTCAACTGTTGCGGAGCAGATCCGTGAGCGCTCGCTGCTATTGGATGATCTAAGAGAATACACCAATAGCAGCGAGTACTCACGGATTGCTGAACGCGACCATTGATGTAGTATTCTAGATCTAAAATTCTAATTGGATGAGCTAAAAAATAGACCAATGACAAGGTTTGTTCGCGTCGCATGCTCCAACATGTTTCAACATGCTCTTACCATAGCTCCTACTCACTCTATCAATCGCGTTGGAGTAAGAGCTGTAGTAAGAGCATATTGGAACATGTTGGAGCATGCGACGCGAACAAACCTACAGCGAATGCTCACTCAACTGTTGAGTCCGCTCAATGCACCTTTTAGGACCGGTTTCATCAACACCGATTAAGCTTAATTGTGATTAACTGTCAATCATGATTGGTCAATTCTACTAAACAGCAAATGCGATTGGTCAGTTAACGGCCGATTAAGTTGACTAGTGTTGGTGAAATTGGCCCTTAGATCATCCAATAGCAGCAAGCGCTCACGGATCTGCTGCGCTAAAGTCATTAGATCTATAAAGTAACGCAATTGATTTCAGAAAGTTACGTCAAAATGGCCGAAGTGTACATAGTACACGATTCTAAGCATGGTGGTTGGTGGTTCATCTTTTAAACTGTACTTACATGTCCCTTCGTGCACTTTCACTAAACTTTTACAGCAAACAAATCCGTGTGAAACTAAAGAACACATAAATTAAGCATTCGTACATATTCTTTTGGTCATAAATGAACTAATTACAATTAAAAAACATTGATTACATACTTGACGGTTTCATTTTCCTAAATAAAGTACGTATATATAAATGCATAAATTCGAAATGGCCGCGTTTTGCGTCAAAATGGATACTAGTTTGCGGTACTTTATAGATCTAATGATGCGGTCCCATGATGCGGAATTGGTGCAATGAGGAATTGGCGGAACGCTCGTGATTGGTTTAGAAAAGACATCGGCGGAGCGCAATAAATTGACGGAATGCTTGCGATTGAACGGACATCGTTCCGCCAATTCCGCGTTGCGTATACGTTCCGCACCATGGGACCGCGCCATAAGGTTTGTTCGCGTCGCAAGCTCCAACATGCTCCTACCATAGTTCCTATTCACTCTGCTTGTTTTCCAGCAAGGACACAGTCAAACACTGTAACACAGTGAGTCGTTTTATCCTTGTTGTTTGCCAACGTTAAACAAGGATGAAACGACTCTGTGTTACACAGTGTCTGACTGTGTCCTTGCTGGAAAGCAAGCTATCAAACGTGGAGTGAGTAGGGCTGCAGTCCATTTGACGCTACAAACGCTTCGAAGCATTCTTTGATTAGTCAATTCGTAAAATTCTTTGTTCTGATTGGTCGCTCAAACGCTTCGAAGCGTTTGTAGCATCGAGTGGACCGCAGCCTAAGGGTGAAATCACACGGTGCGGAAAAAGACTGCGGAATAGAGAATGCGTCATTGAAGCAACCAATCAGCGCTATTCCGAATAGCGCTGAATAGCGTTGATTGGTTGCTTCAATGACGCATTCTCTATTCCGCAGTCTTTTTCCGCACCATGTGATTTCACCCTAAGAACTATGGTAGGAGGATATTGGAACATGTTGGAGCATGTGACGCGATAAACCTCTAACCTCTAATAACTTTATGCTGCGCAACTGTGCGCAACGGTTGAATCTGTTGAACGCGACCAATTTATATCTGCGTTATTGAATTTGCTTCGGTCATTTTGTAATTATGGTTGTATTTCAAAGTATAACGACGGATGAATACAGGAGTAATTACATGACGTTTCGATTGCTGCATGCGTTCCATCAGACACCATTTGGGAAATGTCTTATTGCCGTAACCGATACCAACGAAAGTGTGGCGTACTTAACTTTTGTTGACGGTGATGAGGCGGCTGCTCTCGAAGATTTAAAAGCGAAATGGCCTTTAACTCGAACATTGAAGGATACTGATAACAAAACAGATGTTGTTGTCGCGAAAATCTTTCATCCCAATGATTCACAGCTTGATTCCATTCGTATTCTCATGAGAGGCACGGAATTCCAAATTAAAATTTGGAGATCTTTGACTGGAATCCCTGGAGGAACGGTCACCACGTACGAGGAAGTCGCACAGATGGCGGGTTACAATTCTAAAACCGCAATAGCAGTAGGAAATGCATGTTCTAAAAATTATGTTGCCTATGTCGTGCCATGCCACCGTGTGATAGCAAAAAACACACACAATGGTGTTCGCGGTACCAAGTATGCTTGGAAAACTGAACGAAAAAGAGTTATCTTGGAATATGAAAAGCAGCTTTATATGTAAATATTGTAAATTAATGTATATCATACAACTACAGAGTATAATATTTAACATTTAATAATGAAATATTATAAATTTGATATTCGTCAGTACAAGTTTGATATAATTTTTATATTTTTCTCTCTTAAACTCTTTTATTTTTACATTTGTAATCCTTATACGATTATATCAAATTTATAATGTTCAACTTCTGTCTGAAGGTCTGTAGGTCTCGTAATTTATAATTATGTTACATTTATTTTCATTTATTTTTCCTACGTTTAAACATTTATAAAATGTGTGAACAGTAAATTATACGAAATAAATGGCGCATTTATAGGTGATAAATGTTTATTTTTCTCACGTACATTGGATCTTGTAAAATTACAAAATTCTTTTTGTTAGTATAATAAAATACAGTGATCATAATGATGTCTCACTTATGAATGAAATATCTTTAAATATTTCTTAAAAATGTCAGTTATTGTCACTTATATCTATATATTTACATCATGTTTTCTCATAGGCAGTCAGCTATATAACATTGTTAAATTGATTACATTCATCAGTAAATGAAGGTATTTCTGTATAAATAACAGAAATTAAATTCATTATTATACATCACTGTACATATGTATTTCATGGATATTGATATTTTTGTATTTCGTTATTAATGATGTCTTGAATTACATACTGTTCAAATACATTAATTTATGCTTATTTCTAAATTTCCTGCAATTTTCTTTAATCTTATATCCTGATTTTGTAACACATTCCTTGTATATCTTATTATTGCTTACTTGATTTTTTTATACAACTGTACATCTTCAATTAAAATTATGAAGTAAACTTGTTCACTATATATATACTATATATACTGACAAACACATTCTAAAAAATGTAAAATCAAATTTTAGCGATACTAGATAAAAAATAAAATGTTAAAGTTACTAATTATATTTTCTGTACAAATTGTAATTAAGCGTAGTAAATATATATTTCAGTTTACTTCACTATCAATATTTATACACTAATAAATAATCGACGAGTTTACACATTTTATATACATCTATTTTCATTTTTCGTATTAGCCTAAATGTGCAAGAATCATGATATTAAATTTAATCTGTATTTAAACTGTGTTTAACTGTGCTGTACAATTAAAAAGTTCTTTTTATAAAATTGTTCTTTTGTATAAATTGTTTTTTGCATTCTGTTGCGTTTTTATTAATCTTTTTTTAATATTAATATCTCTTCATACGTTTTCTTTTATTATTGCACATATAACTGTGCTAAAATATATTTCATTCTGTAAGAAGAAGCAACACTTTCACTCATGTTACCAACATTTCTCAGCACTTTTGACAGAGTTCTTAATTTTGTATTTTCTTTTTCTAAATCACTGATATGTGTTGTTTGCGAAAATATACTTTCCTTCGTATTGAATACAAATGTACATTTGTTAGAATCGTTTATCTCTAATGGAAGGGAAAGGAAATTAAACCGTACATATTAAAATAGTAGCTTTGTGTCAGTCTTATGCAATTGCATAATTTATCTATCTTTCTATAGGTCTGTTCTTTTTAGCTAAAGTTCTTGCACGGTTCAGCTTTCTTCTTTTTCTCTCTACGTTGGAACGAAAAAGAGAAAAAATGAACCGTGCAAGAAAGTCAACTAAAAAGAACAGGCCTTATGACAAGCTATTTGTTTTTCATTATGGCGTGCTTTCTGCTCTATGGATATTTAAGATACATTTTACTTGTATTATTATAAAAAGATATCACCGTTTTGATTACTCTAAATCAGGGCTGTCCAGGTTTACGTTTGAAATTGAAATGTGTTAATATTCATGCCTATTACCATTCCTATTCTTCACTTTATTATTTTGTCATAACGCATGATGCTCGTTCTCAGAGACGACACTAGTCTGAAATTGTTTTCGACCTGCGTTAGTCACTATGTTTAAAAGTATTCTATTACGAATATTATAATGTATTAATATTCATAATATATTTAATTATAAAAATACATGAATTTTATATATATATATAATATATATACAGGGTGTCATTAACCGATTGAATCACCCATCGTGAGCAGGTAGAGTGAACCGAACTGAGTCGAAAAGTCCTGTACCATTTCGCAATTTTCGCAATAGTTAACAAGATATTAATTACTAAAAACGGCCGAATATTGGTCTTCAATAATTTTTTTCTCAAATACTATCAATTTTTTGAACAACAAAAAACTATAAGAGACAAAAATTGTTCATTTTCTTCTCATAGAACTAAGAATTTTTTCAGAATTTTTTATCAACTTTTTAGTACTGCATTTTCTTATTTTTATTATCATGAGAAAATACGGTATTAAAAAATTCTGAAAAAATTCTGAAAAAATTCTCAGAACTTTATGAAAAGAAAATAAACAATTTTTGTCTCTTACAGTTTTTCTGTAAAGTTGATAGTATTTGAGAAAAAAATTATTGAAGACCAATATTCGGCCGTTTTTAGTAATTAATATCTTGTTAACTATTGCGAAAATTGCGAAATGGTACAGGACTTTTCGATTCAGTTCGGTTCACTCTACCTGCTCACCTTGGGTGATTTAATGGGTTAATGACACCCCGTATATATATATACATATACATATATACATGTGTGTATATAAAATGTATGTATGTATACATGTATATGTGTATATATGATTAATTCATGTATATACATAAATATATGAATAGTATCTCTTTATATATTAATAATAATATTAGCAATAGAATACTTTTGTAAATGATCAAAAACTTTTAACGATTTCAGACTAGTGTCGTTTCTGAGACCGAAGATTTGTTCGCGTCGCATACTCCAACACGTTCCAATATGCTCCTACCATAGCTTTTACTCACTCCAACCTGCTTGATAGAGTGAGTAGGAGCTATGGTAGGAGCATGTTGGAGCATGTTAGATCTTGCGACGCGAACAAATCTCGAGCGTCGCGCGCTACGACAAAATAACAATGAAATGGGGATTAGAAACGATAATAGACATGAATACCTATACATTTCAATTTCAAGCTAAAAGTACCCATTCTGGACAACTCTGCACTAAATGATATAAGGGACTTCTGAAGTCTTGTTTGACTTCAAACAAGTTTGATGTCACACACTAATTACGAAATTTTATCTTTGCATTATTCAAAATAAGCTGAATTGATTATCACAAAATTATTAAAAAATTACCGTCAGTCCCTTCTATGTATTTCTATGTCGCATTTCTATATTTCTGTGATGTTTGTTTCGTAAAAAATTATTTGCACATATAGATAGTGGCTCTTTGGGTTTTTATGAACAGTCACGGCGAAATATCTATATCTTACAAGGCAGTGTCCAGACATGATTATTACGATCTAAGTTGTGGCCTGTCTCGCTCTGTTGAAATCAATTAAATAAATAGTAATAATTCACAATAGGGATCAATCGCAACTTCATCATTAGCGAAAAATTTATAGTATATTATTGTAGACATCACAGCTTTATATATTTTACCATCACGTTTTGTATATAAATATTAGATAAAAATATCTGTAGCTATTATATTTTCTGTTTTTTATAAAAATCCCTGTGCGTTTGCCAACTTGCTCAATGGAGCAGATCAAAGTCTTTTTATTTCGTAAAAAAGCAAAATCTCGCGAAATGCAGCGTGGGCGGAGTGATGCGTGAGATAAAAAAATATGATATACAAGTGTTATATCTCTCCGATGTCTACAATATATGTCGTTTTACGTCGGTCTTTGCAATAAATAACTAGCTCTTATATCTCGATTGTCAGTTAGATAAGAATAGTCAAAATGTAAAAGTGTACACTAAGGTCATTCATTAACTAGCTCACTATTAAAAGTATGTAAAAGTGATGTCATTATTCGAGCGTATACGGGGACGCTACCTTCAAAATCGCGATGATCACAGCAACGAGAAGCATAAAAGTCGTGGACATTGTCGACGTGCAAAGAGTTGACGAAGAAACTGCATTTTTTGATACTTGAGTAGTTCCTGTAATCGAGAAAAGAAAGTAAATGAATTATAAGTACAAATAGGAAAAGTAATCTTAAGCAAAAATATCCTAATTTAACGACAAAAAACGAGCCTTTTTTAATAATTAAGAAATGAGCAAATAAGATGTTTAAATAAGTAAATTATTTAACGATTTAATGAAATAGTACATATACTATATAAATGCATAAAAACGTTCCGCTTACAGTCTTTATAAATAAGTCTTCATAATTAAATATTCAAGAGTTCTCGAATATTTAGCCGATAGTTATTTATCTAAAGGCAATTTTATATTCTTGATCAGCGAAAATTAAAATATTGGCTAATAGATAATAAAATTTACTTAACTTTATTTAGCTAACTCACCTGATATCCTCGGTCGTGGAGTTGTTGTAATCCTCATTATTGGATTATGAGGAATTGGTTTCATTGGAGTTGGCGCAGGACTTGGTGAATTCCCATAACATTGTCCTTAAATAACATTATCACAATATAGAAATGTGTTATTTATTATTATTACAACAATTAAACAAAAAAATTAACTTTCATTGATTTTTCTATGAATACACCAATTTATATAGGTTCTAGATAAAGATCAGTTACTAATTGATCATAAAACGAAAGATTTTATATGAATGCATGAATAGGTGCTTCTCACACAAAACGCTTACCCTTTTTGTAAAGACGCATCCCCTGTTGTTTGGGATCTATATTTCGCATACAATGACCACCGGCTTCCTTAATATATATTTCTTCATCGTTGACAATCAAACCAACGAAACACTCATTTGTAGAAGTGTCGTTTCTCATAGTATAGGTATACATCACGCCGTCTTCCTCCCATTGTCCCAAGCACAGGTATGATCGTTCTAAAAACAGTGAGTAAAAGCATTTTGTAGAAAAAAAGAAACATATTATGGAAACATATAGTATAAATCATTATACAAACATAATGATTAATATATCTATATATATAACGTAAATTCTAAAATTAAATTGCTTAAAATAATATTTATTCGATTGTAATAATTTTATACACACCTTCGTACAGTTCTCCGGACTCGCAGTCGTTCACTTTGAAGTACATTATTTCGCGAGTGTTACAATTGCTGCTTAACTCGGCACACATTCCTGACAGATCTGTTATCCTTCCTACATATTGGCCTGTAATTGGACAGGGTGACTCCACCACACGTTCGATGCCTTAAAAATGATTTATGTATAAAATAATAATGCGCGTTTTAAAAGTATAAAAAAGTTACTTATGAAAGTGCACAGATAATTTATAAAGGTACTGTAAACTGTATATTTTAACTTACGTGATTGAGTCATCCACAATCGTTTGTCCATATAGGGATCGTCGCACAAATCACTTTGATAACTCACTGGATTGTTGATCGTCCCTATACATGATATTATTTCTATTACTGCGTGACTATACTTGAGATTCATACGAAACAAAATTGAATATAAAGATGGACAGAGATTAATGAAAAATAGAAAAAGAGAAAAAAATTTTTATATATAATATTTATAATATTTCAGATTCATGTTTGAAATTATTATTATTTTGATTAATCTTTTGCTATTTACTTGTACAGATTTTATATTACTTCGATTTCATTGAACAAGTTGTAGTTTTTAGTGAAGCATTAATAATAATAATAATAGAGTCGTTATATAATAAAGGATTGCATTGAATAATTAATATAGAAAATAGTTTTCTTTTTACCTAACGCAAATTCCAGTACATTTTCGCTGCGTTGCCTCATCAATAAACAGACAAAAGCAGACTGCTCACTGAAATTAAAAATAAGTATTCGTTTTAACTGTCACTGTTAGTTAAAATAATGTTTTGAGACACAAGACTGTATGTAAGCTATAAATATAATCTTATTTCTAGTCTTATATTCAACATTTTTGAACAAAATATACTGGATATAAATAGCTGTAGTGCAACCAAATTGATCGCTCACCATTGATCTTTGGAATACACGATATGACGGCCAGTCTCCTCGTTTGACTCTACCGTGATAAAAGTGTAACTATTGTAGCCATTCAAATCGGTGAAAGTCATAGTACCATTAACTATTAGGGATTCCTCCCACACTCCCTGCGCCCATTTCGGGAATCTAATAATATTAGATACGTATCGATTATTATAAGCGTTTTTACAAATATTAGTTTTTTTTCATTACTCTTTCAACACACAAATCTTTCAACACAAGATTTCCGTCCAATATAACTGCGACAATAGAACATGTCTAACGATAAAATAAAATTAAATAATTATAAAATGTAGCGTACTTACGTAGCAACATGGGTTATCACATATTCTGGCATCTTTTTCTGGTTTAGGCTCTTGGTTAAAATCAAAGTCTCGTATCCATGAGTTGCATTGTCTAAATCCTGTGTGCAGCTCGAATCACTGCTAAGTGCCATGTAAGTTTTCCCTCTTTTGTTATCAACATAATACAGCTGAAATTTATATTTCGCCTATCATGAACTGTTATTGAATTTCATGCCGGTCACTGGTGACCGGCACTTGAATTTTCAAACATTGTCAAATTAAAAAATATATACGAACTCGTACAAAATAATACAATTCTATAAATATGATTAATATTCAAATAATAATCTAAGATAATAAACATACTTAAATGATAATTTATAATTCAATTGTATTATATAATATTTTGTCGAGATGTTGAGCTAATAATGAAGATTTTATTCCGACATGGCGTCGCCAAAAAAACAAGCAAAATAAATCCAGCATTCAACATGTTAATAAATAATAATCTTATATGCAAAGTGTATAATTTTGAAATTTATATTATATCGATTTGATCAAAATATATCCGTAATTAAATAGATGGAATTACTGGAAAAATATAGATATTGTATATTTATATCGTTTTGTATGCATTGATCAAGCAATAGTATTATCTTATGAAAAATAATTTAATATGTAACGCACCCCGCATCTATATTGAGGCCCGCCATCGTTGACGTCGCTGTCCCAAAGAGCAAAATATGTAGAATTATTCGGTCCAGGCCAACTGCCCAAACAATTGTACTGAATATCTGTTGAAACAAGATTAACGCTGTATTTCTGATAATTTCGAAAAAGTAGTTTCTTTATCGCAGTTTCTTTATCGTTGCTTCAAGTTACAAATCAATTAACAAGTAATAATATTAACATTTCATTTAAATTATTAATTTGATAACAATGTAAATGAAGAAAAGACACTTGTATATTTGTTTACTGATTCTAATTTATGAAATCTCGATGGCAGTTAATTTTGCTGCTCAAATATTTAAAAATGTATGAATCTCTTTAAATTGTTTTGCAAAGATTTATTATATTAATGTAATTACAGAGAAATTTAAAAAAGACTTACTGCGTTTCTCGAAGTTACATCGTTTGAATTTTAATTGTAAGATCGATCCATCCGGACAATTATTGAACTCGGAAGAGAACGTGTTACACTCTAACGAGACCGCGGAGTTATTGTTAACGCTATATTTGAAGTGATAAAGACCAGCGATGGGGCAGTATTCTCTCCGAGTTGCTGAACCATCGATTTCTTTCGTTCCTGTGGACAGAAAACCGAAAATCATTCATTAAAAACGATTTTATATATTTTATAGATCTATATATTCTTCATATAAGAAAATACATATTTATAAAAAAATCTTTTTTATAATACAGAAATATATTATTGCATTTAATTGTATATTAATTATATTTGTATATACGTATATACTGCATTTAATTGTACAAAACCTGAAATTAAAATATAATTTAAGAATTCGGAAAATTAATAAAATATAATCATTGTACTAGAGTCATTCGATTTGAGCTTTCCTTTTTTTTTAATAAAAAACATGTTTGTACATAATCATGTGAGATGAGATTTTCCATGAATCGAGATTAAAAGATGAAATCTGAAGGCACCTTTATCCGAAAATCCTTTCGAAATAACCCTCGCGTTTTTCATCGAAGCTAATCACTTTTGTCATCTTTCAATCGTGACTATAAAGAAGAAATAAAAAAAAGATCGGCGGAACCTTCAAAGATATTAGAGATTATTCCCACCAAAAAATGTAACAATTTTATAATTATAAAAATATACAAACATAATATATTTCGCGAATATTTCAACGATCTTCGTCTTTAGATGCCAGCACAGTTTCATTTTAAAAAAAATCTCAAGAGAAAAACTTCAAATGACTTTAAAGAAAGATCATTGGACTCCAAGCAGTTAAGATAATAAATCCTATAAATAAATATTATTTCTTAAACGTTTTCCTTTTTTCTCTCTTCAGTTCTTCTTGGCTATATTTTGCAACTATATCTAAAAAGAAAAGAGAGGAAAGGAAACAAGAAGAAAAACTAGCTTTTCGAAATATTCTTTCTCTCCACCTTCTTCTTTCTTTTTTTCTCTCGACCTTCATCTTTCTTTCTGTAGACTTCCGTAGATTGAAGTTTTGTCTCTTATTGTATTTATCATCGAGGGAGGGAAGAAGGATGCCTACAATAAAAGTCTCCATGTTGCTGCCTCACAATCAGTATAATAAGGACAATTTACGATTCATATAATTACAAAGTCGGTCACGTTTAAACAAATCGATTTAAACTTGAGACGACAAAATTTATTTCCTCTTCTCTCTTTCCCCCCTTATTTCGTGTGGTAAGTAATTCCGCCGTCATCTCATCATTGTGAACGCTGTGCGCCTTCTGTACTTCTTCCCGCTCAACTTTTCGCCGTACCCCTGTAATTGCGAGCCAACCGTATTGCCAGGACCGAAACGAGCAAACGCGATTCTCTTCCTCGTCTTCGACCTGTCTTCATGCTCGCTGTTACATCTCGCAAAACAGTTTGAAAGGATGAACGCAAGTCGAGGAAAAAAGTGATATTGAGAGTTAACTCTTAACTGCGAGTTTCTTCAGCTGTTATACGATCTACAACGCTGTTCTAAATTTAGAAGTTAAACTAGAAAGATGGTGAAGCCGTGGCTTTTTACGAGATATGGAATAGAATGACATAAATCATAATTACTTCTCAACAGAAGGAAGTAAAAGGATACTTGAAAATACCTGATGCGTAACTTATTGTTCGCTAAGTTACTGTAATAGCTTTTTATAGTTCTATAAACAGGAAATTTACAATTGTATTGCGTTAAAATAATTGTGCCTTACATGTATATATTGAAATATTATTTTATTTCTTATTTCTTGTCTCTGTTTAGCATTTCTTCTACAAAAACTAAAATATGATGCGTTTGCAATGCGATAAATAAAATTATTCATTTTGCACAAAACTGGTGAATGATATTTTAAAAATTTATAGTAAAAAATAAATTAATTAAAAATTTTTTAAAGAATTAAAACGCGTCGTATTTTTACAAAAGACGTAAATAACATAATGCAAAGTTATCTTCATCGAATTGAGAATGCGTAGAATTGAGAATGTTCTTAATTATCTTTGTCCATTCTGACGATATAATTAGGCGAAATGAAAAAACCTACAAGATTTTTTTTTTCCTTTATTAGCGACCGTATATTGCGTGTCGTAGTGTCCTTCGCTTATTCTATGACAAAACGATTAGGACAAGGACCTTTTGGGAACAGGCCACTCCCACGCTTCCGACAAATACCTGACGATACTAGCTTGATGTTGCTGCGTGTACCACCGGTTCAGGAAAAGAAAAAGGGAAACAGGAGTGAATACGACAAAAATTTGATGGGAGTATACTTTCTGAAATAATTATAATTAACTCTTCAGCATTTTTCTTCAGGAATGCTTTTCTATTTTCGAATAGTCTCAGGGGATTTAAAAATATGTTAAAAATATAAACAAAGAAACGTGAACTATTATATAGTTATTAATCCTCCACTAGTATGAATTTTAACCCGTTTATTGACTCCGTCAGCAATAAAAGTCTTCAAAAAACAGCAATTTTTTGTATTATTCTGGATTATATAAAACTCTGAAAAAATTCTAGTATACCTATTAAAGCTTTAACAACAAGTTTTTATCATCACAGAAGTCAGATTGTATTTTACAGATTTAAACTTATTTTTTATAGATTTAAATTTGTAATAGTAATTTCTCAAGTACGCGAATCTGCGTACCTACTTGAGAAATTACTATTACAAGGATAAAAATAGATTAAATTGGAAATTTCAAAGAAAGATTGTTTCAGAATCAGAAAGAAGGTAATTATTGCCGCACGTTTTTCGATTACAAGCGGATCCTTTTTTTCCAACTAACTTTAGCTTCCTTTTCAGGTTGAAAAAGATATCGGTATCAGTATGTTTTCGTGAACAAATTCACCAGATGTGAATTCTTCGCACATCGGTAATTTGCTCCTTGTTGATTCGGTCTTTTTACCGAAATCGTTCCTGAATCTTTCCAGGATGCTGAGAGATTTGTTTCATGCACGGACATTCGATTATGTTCTTCCACCGGACCACCGGCTCGCGTTTTCGGTTCTCGCGTGCAGCGACACGGATCAAAGCGTGAAACCAGAATTATGAACGGAATCAAGCTCGACTCGCCACCGATCGACCGTCTCGATTGCGTCGCGAAGACAGGTGTGCAATTTCTTGGGAGCCGCTACAGGTGAACGCGTTTGATAATGCGCCGGAAGTCAAGGAATCGACATTAATCGAGCAATCTTCATTAGGGAAATAATAACGATGAACGCGAACGCATGCGTGCTGCTGGCGTTAATGTGCGAAAATCTTGTGTTTTGAGAGCGCAAGCAGTGTTAAATATATATCTTTATAACTTCTCGGTTACTCTGTTAGTATATATCTTTCAAGCACAAAACTTTATTTTATATTAATTCTTGGTGAAAACAGATTACATTTTAAAATTTAAAGATGTCCACCCATGTGAAAAATATCATACAATATATATTTATATGTATAAATATTTAATTTATATTTAATAATTAATAATTAATATTATACAGAGGAAGCAAAAAGGATTTAAATAGCAGTCATTTTGACATCAAACTAACGATAAATAACATCAGCTTGCTACCTGGGAAATCAATCTCCTGTCCTTCCGTTTGGTTGTACTATAGATTTGTTCCCATCCTCTCTTATATTTTATATATACACACACACACACACAAATTTACGACTTTCTTTTTCGTTTGTCAAATGTGTTCCTGCATCACCAATAGAAGATGAACGAAATTTCCACTGTTGGTGCAATTTTTCTTGTTACGTCCTCGATGACCGCGCTACCGGAATTTACCGGACCTCTCCTTCGTATAAATAATTATGCAAACGGCCCAATCATCCTTAAGAGCGTTTTAATTGATAGGCGCATGAGAAACTCACGCGACGTGTGTGCGTTTTACACGCGACGTGCGTGCCGTGCGTTTTATATGGCGCGAGGCCCATTGTTCCCGCATCGTTACGCAAGCCTCATCATTTCTTCCCGCTTCGCGGACAATTAACGCTAATTATCGAGGATTACTAATTCGCCAAGGAGTACGCCGAACTTGATTCCCCGTACACGGAGGTCGCGTCGTAATTCGTCCATCTAATAAACCGGAAGCCCACGAATTCTTCGAGTACGCTTCGTGCGTAAATAATACGCAAGAATGCGTAATTAATTTGTGTAGATCAAATGTACCTTTCCATAACGTTGCCTTATCGCATGCTTCATAACTTTTTTTTAATAGAAGAAAGAGCACGCAAGAAATTAAGATATATAACTAATTCACATTTATACAGATTTTAAGAATATGTTTTTAACAGAGATTGTAAAAAGATGCTCGGTGCAGAAAATAATACAAAAAAACTTATATAAATATCTCTTCTGTTGTTATAATATTTCTTTCTGTATTTACTTTATTATTTTAATTTTATTTTATAGTTATATATTCTTTAATCCTCAAACGTTATACTACGGTAATAACACTTAAGTGTGACATATCCAACCCAATTCGATTGTTTATAACTTTAAAAAATGAACATATTGTAAACAATTTTTTTCAATCAAAACGCCATTTAAGGAAAATACCAATCAAATATATGTATTTTTATTAATAAAAAATAACTTTTGATAAAGAATGGAAAAAGCATTGAAAAGCATTGAAAAAAGTCGATGCCACACCGTTAATTAACTTCTTAACTATTTGCTAACTTTCTGTTTGATAGAAATAATAGAAAATAGATAGAAATAGATTTAGACGAAACACCGTCACGTTTGTTCCACGCTCGCTTTATTTTTTTAGCAAGTAAGCGAGTCATATTATACGATCAAAGTTCGCTCGACAAGTACAAAAAGTCACATTAATTCGCATTAATAATAATATGACTTGCTTGAGCGTGAAAAAAAGCAAGATTATCCAGCTAGATCGCTCTGTATTTTATGCATAAGATCGTATTCATTATCATAAGTATGACTCGTAAGTATTTAACTTGGCATATGTCATAGGTCGTAGTCTCTACCTCGGAATTAAATTATAGAGAAAAATTCAGCTTCTACTTACGGTACAGGATTGAAATAGAGTTTAGTGCGCTGCAGGAGGCTAAGGCGGCCGATTCGTGCGTGTAACACCTGTTGAAAGTTTCCGCGAACATCTCAATGACATTCCGCGATCTCCGTTGCAGCCGGAAACACCGTATGCAATCTTTGTCGTTAAACCTGCAGCAAATGAATACCATGAATTGCGTTGGTAGGATCACAATTCCGTGATTTATACGTAACGTATTATTATAAGGCACGATTCTCACGTTCCATCTTTTGGTGCGTAAACAGAAAAGAATTAATGCCTTTTATTTGATATCATCTACTCTTCGTAATATTTAAGACATAGCCGTTAAACGGGCCTAGATGTATATACATTTAGATTAAGATCTAGATTAAAATTTCACTTAAGAAAATTAACTTAAGAACATTTAAAATTGGCTTGAAAGACGAAATTCTATTATTTGTAAATTTGAGGCATAATTCCCCAAAACTTTATTTACCTTTTTCCATCGACTTGTAAATTAAATACTCAATTATATACAATATATTGGTGATTAACTATACAATTACAAAAGATGCACTGATAATATATACATAATTATAATAGTTTTAAATATGGACTGGTTTTTAAGAATATAACAAAATTCTCACTGGACATTATATTTTAACTGATTTTCTGATTATGTATGTAAGATGTTTTGTTTTTGTACATTGAAAATGACCCGATCGGTGTCGAAACGTTTGATTATTGTATATATATACGTTTATTAAAGATCTTATATTGTAGTTGGCTCGTTTGCCCTTGTTTTATTTATTGATTTATTCTATTTGAGCCATATTAACATTTAATTATTTCATAATTATAATATCTTATATAAGTGTAACATTCTTGGCACGTGTCGCTTTGCAGATAGAAACTCAGCATTACTTGCGGAATTTACGCCGCGTTAATCCTGAGACTAAGGACTATACAGATAAATAAAAAAATCAATAAGGGCTGAACTGCGGCCGGAGAAAAACTAACTAAACTACAAGACATAAAGTATAACTACATCCCGGATGCGCTGATAATGCTGATTTTGAAACAACAAGACGATGATGCTAGCGCCGTAATATCAGCGAGTGAGAAATAATGAAGGAGCTTCACTTCTCTCGGCTCCCTTATTTCGATCAGCACGTTGGAATCAGCAGATTGTGCTTTGAGAGTCTTAAAAGAAAATTCCGAATACCCCGCCTTAATAATCTTTAATTGAGATTGGACTTACGAGTATAATCTCGGACTGCGACTTTAAAGCCCTTGATTATATAATACATTAATTTATATTTATGAAAACTAGAGATTACTTTTTTTTTTACAAAAAAATGCGAATGCGAAGAAATGGCATCTTTACGAGTCGCGCGCAAAAGATACCGGTCCTCGAGTCCTATCGTTAAATCTTATCGTAAAATATCTGTGTTCTTGTATCAGCGTTTTAATATTCGCGCTTCTTCTCTTTGAGATTTATGAATTTCTCACGAAATAAAGATATGCTGATATAAGACGACAATAATGGCGACATAATGACGGCGCGATAGGGTCTCGATTAGAGCACTATTAGTACTCTCGTGACGAGCCACTCGTGAATTAACACGCGGTTTACTCTGGCGCAGGAAGTGAAGAATGACATATAAGAAAAAAAGGAAAGAACAAGGACATTATTCTTGTTCTGCGCGATGCCAACGACTCGAAGAAGCGACACGCGACATCTCAAGATCAAATTAGGAACACAAGACATTTGATCGGACGAGATGTTCAAAACTAAATAGATATGAAAAATAGCGGTCTGTCCTTTGTCGGTCGATTAAAAATTTTTTGAACTATCTACAGCTGAAACTTGTCACATCGTTGAAAGATCATGCATATTGCCCAAGTTTTTCTTGACTGAAAATATTGACTTTCAAAAAGATGGTGTTTAAAGACAAATAAAGAAAAGCAAATAAAGTAAAGAGAAAAGTGAGATAAAAGTTCAAATCGTTTGAGAAAATACGTTTAGTAGAAACGAGCAACTTTTGCGCAAGATTATATGGGAACCAGTACGCAGGGAGAGGAAGAGACACGTTTTATCGTCGCGCTATCGCGACCGCTATCTACTTGCTTTTCACACACGATTATGAAAATGACAGTGATTGCGGAGGAGTCATTTGTTCAACAGTATCTGATGTGTACCGTGTATTCGCGCAACAAAATCGCCATCACGGTGAAGATGTTATTTAAATAATTGTGAGTTATTAGAGTAACTACATAGGCGAAAGCGGAAATTTGCATTATAAAGGGTTACGCGCTAGGAATGTTGTTCAAAGTTCAACATTGTATATAGAAACTAATGTGTAACGAACCCATTTTAATTATATAATTAAGTACCTAATATCCACATTTTTTAATTATTCTGACACATAAATTTTACATCCGTCAATGAATTTCTCTCTACTTTTATACCTACACATATTTCTTTTTATAAGTATACATTTACAAATGCAGACTAATAAAACGATTCCAATTTAAATATAAATAAAGATCTGATACCCATATTTCAAATTGAAAACATACGCTGGAAAAAGAGTGTTGCATTAATTAGAATTTTAGTTGAAAATGAACAAATAAGAATTTCCTGATTTAATCTATTATAATTCTATAATTAAAATAACCAAAATTCAGATTAGTATGATCAGAATCTTCTGGTTCGTTCGTTTAAAAAATTTGTTTCTGTATAATTCTGCATTCATCAATCTTCTTCCATTTCTTGTACGTATTCTTTTTCTTGTATCCTCATCCAAGCGTGAAAGATCTGACGCGTTAATATAATAACATTATAAGTATCTCGATCAACTTTCTGATCTAATGAGCGCAGAGTAACGCAATGACACCGGGATGCGAATCAACGCGGTCGACATGCCTCTCGACCGTCCGTATGCAAGTGCACGCGAGTGAGTTTACAACGTCGTCGCATACTTGCGCGTATAATTGTACCTTCGAGGCAATAGCTGTCGCGCCGATATTATGCAACCTGTGGGAACGGGCGTGTGAGCTCGTTTATCGTCGGCCGCGTAGTCACCCGGACCCTGCCATATATAGGATCTCGTTCTCGCGCAAAGCACCAGGAGAACACTAGAGCAGCGAGCTCTCGGGAGCCCTCTAGATATTATTCGCCAACCGGAATGTCACACGATAGGTTTTGCCCATACGCGAAGCAGTCTACTCGAGCACTCTTACATTCGGAATTCGAAGTATTCGTCGTGATACACTCGTTCTAATGGTATCTCGTTCTAAGTTTCTTTTAAGCAGATGCTGCAAATTGCTTAAGAATCGTTAACCCTTTGCGGTTCCGTGTCGAATTGGAGTCGACGTAATACATATATCGCGATAGCCTATTGTTTAATTCTTCAAGCATTCGAATCTACGCAATTATGTCATTGCACTGCTATATGATTAGGTGCAATTGGCAAATCATATTTTTTTAGGATCTCCATAATTTCAATTAATAAAAGTTCTTCGAATCGTAGACTAGTTGATTAGATGTGAAAGACGAAATCTTTACTCATTTGCGAAAAATAATATGGAGATACTTTTCGTTTTAAAAAGTGTATATTTTAAAATTTAGTATAAATTTACGCTGAAATTTACTTTCTTTTCCATCAACTGCTGTTTCATGCAATTATGTAATATCTTTGATCTATGCTTCCTCCTTCGATGTAGTTTCTTCCTATAATAGTGTCCGTTTTATCTCACGTTTCGATCGGATGGTTTCTTATCAGGATAATAAGGTATATACTTAGATTTCGCTATGAATAGCCTGCGGAACATTATTAATTAACGCGTTAACTTTTGTATTCCGTACAACACGATCGAAGCGACAGGATTTGCATAAAACGAACTGCAATTCAGACTGCACGCAAATCCGAGCGTCAGGTGCCGCGCCGTTCGCAAAACAAGTTTAAGACACGTGATAACTCAAGTTGGTAAGTCGACGTCCCCGTCGATTATTACTTGTTTCGGAAGCATCTGTACTTTATAATCGTTTGTAACACGCTACTTTATTTTGCGCCGTCTATCGAATTACGCACGATCGGAATTGCGTTCACTCTCCATGGGATGGACTCATCATCATCATCCGACCGCGATATCCCACTGACCCGAAATGTAAATCACGTATTGCATTCGAATCGAATTTGCATAACGGTGCACGCATCGCACAAGGCTGATGGTCTCACAAAAGCGACGATGAATCGTCACACGGACGCATTATAAAAAACAAAAAAAAACGTAATTTCGCACGAAGAAACTACCATTTAGCGTCCTACTGTAATCATGGTACTGTAATAACTGCATCAGAGGTGACATTAAAAAGGCATTTCTCGCGGACAGTCGCTTCTCGCGAGTGGCTTTCCGAGTGAGTCGGTTTGTAGCAGTTTCATTAATGACCGATTCAATTGTCAACGGCGACGGAATCCGGGGAACGCTGCGCCACGCAATTAGAGTGACAAATGAGCCGCCGTGTGGTGCCAGTGCGAGGAACATGCGACTCGTCGTTCTCTCAGTGCGGACATCCCAGAGGAGTGTTCGTTCGTCGCATTGTCGACGACGCTCAACACGCGAAGGTTGAGATACATGGAAACTGGAGGAGAGGCCACACCACCTTCGGCTAGTCACTCCTCCGTCTTCACGGAGATTAATGGTAGAAGATGGTATGCGACGAGAGAGGAAAAGAGAAAGAAAAACAGGCCCTCTGTTCTATCCGATCGCCAGGTAGGGCCTGTTCAACTCACGAGTTTGCATCTCTGGCGACGATATATTCTCTTTTGATGCCCCGATGCCGTTTCTCGACTTAGGCATAGCGACTGTTATGCCATGAAACACATAAGCGCATATTATACCGGATGATTCACGAGTGAACGTCGCCGTTTCAACTGATAAAACATCATCTATTGTACATTAAAAAAAGTTTGGTAATAGCAACTAAAATTATTGAGTAAAATAATTTCAATTAAATGTTCAGTTAATATACCTACCCAAAAATAATTTTACTTTTCTAAATATTTATTATTTATATATTACAGTAGGTATTATCAAACGATTAGTTATGTTTGGCTATTATTACGTTTGGCAATACTTATTAAATACTTAGAAAAATATTAAATTACGTTTTTTAAAAATATTAAAATTATTTTTGGTTATATTAACCAAACACTTGGTTGAAATTATTTCATTCAACATTTGGTAGCTATTATCAGACTCTTTTTTCAATGTGTAATAGAATATTTTGTAATGATTTCAAAGAAAAATCGCCTTGTTATCATAGAAACAACGAATTTTCACAATCTGGTAATAAATACAGATAAAAAAACAGTAGAATCTAAATTTTATCTTCTTGTTAATACATATTTTTGAGGCTTTGACGGGTATTTTCTTCAGAAAGGAAAATACACGTATCAAAAGGTAGGTTATCATCGTGATCCATCACTAATGCTAACGTTTCGTGAACCTTGCCGTTCACTTATCAGGGTGACAAACGTACTGATACTGATTTTTCTTGTCTTTTACAAATAATAATGTTATCTCATTTTAGAAAACAGCTCACATTTACAGAATTTGTAATCAAGATGTAGGTAATTTTTGTAGGTGCTTTAAATAACTCTCTCTCTCTCTCTCTCTCTCAAGTATTAATACGTTTATAACGAACGATGTAAGCTGATATGCCATTATCCCAACAAACACGCAAACCGATTAAGTAAACCAATCCGCCGTAATATTTCATCGTGCACTCGCTGACGATTCTCGCGAAGAAATTGTCACGACGGATGTGAAATAAAACGATCTCGCCTTGTGAAATCATTACGAGCTACCGCGTGCTTATAAAGATACAATTTACGTGAATTTTGCATACGGCTTTTACGTGCATTCCTTTTCGCTCCGGCAGATTATTGCGCACCGCGATTATTCCTAATAGCCGCGGGTTGGTCGGCTATCCCCTTGTAGGACGGGCATAAACGTCGACGTCGTTTAAATATACGCGTAACGACGTCGCTCCGACACAAAAATCGCAGAGAGAGACGCGCAATCGATTAAACACGATCAAGGGAGAAAAATATAGAGCAATTAAACAGCGATCGAATCTCGAGCAATTAACAAGAATAATCAGACTGTTGATTATTATAGTTATTTACGTGTCATTCTAAGTAAGTTTATGGCATTTTCTATTTGTAATAAATTTTTCAGAGATTATGTGAAGCCTCATTGGTAAATTACAACTAATTAGTGACAAGTAAAAGATCGAATTTATGGTAATTATCGCAACGCGTGATATCGTGTCAAAATGTATAATTATTGAGACAGATGATTTATTACGCTCGTATTTATTTATAAATCTGTATGTTTTTATGTGAGTGAAGTTAACGACGCTTGAAACGGGATCAAAAATAATAATTTTCCGGATCGTAAATGCAACGGCGAGAGAAGTAACGAGACAATTGGAGATACGATTTCTCGGAATATTCATGACGCGATAGCTTGTTAACGATTCAACGTGAATCGCGAAGTATATGATCGTGTCTAGAGAAGAAGAAGAAGAAGAGGGTGGGCTCTCACGTGTATGCCAATTTATGCATACTTGGCCGGACAACACCCACATTGCTTCGTGAGCATCCAGATGCATCGGAGAACTATCGATTGGCGCGACGAGGGCTTCGGATTTCTCTATGAGACACAGCATTGAATCTTATAAAATCGAATTTTTAAAATAATAAAACAAATTCTCACCCATTTCACATCTATTTCTTCCGTTTTGTTTCTTCGAAATATAGGATAATAATTGGAAAATTGAAGAAATGAAGTAGCTGTTATTTTGTGATGGGTTGATAGAATAAAATGGATAAATTTATTATACAGGATGTATCTTAAAAAGCGCTCACGAACCATATAGCGCTATTCCTGATCAAAAACTGAGTCTAAAACTTATGAACCATTTTGCAATTTTCGCAATAGTTAAGGAAATATTAGTTTCTAAAGAAACCACCTAAATTCTCCGTAGTTTTGTTTTAGATTAAATTCAATCTTTAACTTTATGATGATGCAATGGGAATAATCTTGAGAATAAGATCTCGGAAAGGGTATAATGTCGAAACTACACTGATTTGGACCGAAAAGGATGTTTCGCTATTTCCTTTTCGTTTTACAGCTCTTTCTGGAATTAGCCCGGGCTCGCGCGATACGCGCGTCTGTGTCTGGCGTTGTCTGGAGAGCCAGCTATTTTCGTTCCAGACGAATCGTAGACGTCGCGGCATCCCCGGAGAGACATCAGAAGGCTAATTTAACCTTAACCCCTTCACACCCTTTCCATTTCCCGTGACGACAATACCCCTCGGTCGTCTTTGTCGGTGAATTTTTGCCTCTTTCGCAGGAAAAGCCCGTCCCATCCTACGCGCTCACGATCCAACATTCTCCCGTCTAGACTTGCAGCGACTTATATAGAAAACGGTCACAAAATCGCGCATGTTTCTCACGGCTCTACATATTCCGTCGAATTTCTAACATTAGCAAAAATGAAATATCTATTATTATTGCGTGTTAATTGTTATTTTATAATTTATATATATATATAAATAAAAATAATAAATAAAGGGCGAAGTAAGAGTCAATACATAAAAATTATAGTCCAAAAATTGGTAAAACATGAAAGATTGAGTCAGTCTGAATATAAAATATAAGATAACATTTAATTAAATAAATTGAGAAACACATAACATTTAATTAAATAAATTGAGAAACACATTACAAGTTTCGGCTACGCGATTGAGCCCTCTTCAGATACAATTTTACAAGAATTTGATATACAAAAAGTTCACGCAAAAAACGCATATTAAATACTAATCGGATGTATCAATCTACGCCGTTCACATGCCATTCGTGGTCAGTGTCTCTTCGAAATCTGATTACAATATAAAGTTTTATTACAAAAACTAAACGTATAAATTCTGACAAATAATATCTTACCAAAAGCCATGTGTAGAATTAATTTAAAATTTTCCAGAGAAATCGGTTATGTATGATATAAGCCATTCGTAGATATATCTTAATAATCTCAACTGCAAAATCTTATTAAAACAGAATCTACCATATACCTATATATATATTTAAAGAAAAAGATATTCAATCTTATATACACATATGCATATTATTATTACTTTAATGTGGATCTGGAGATACGATGGGTACATAATTCAAAAATCTCACATATAATCTTAGCATTAAACTCTCCTTGGCATGCAATGCCAGACACTGTAGGTGTTAACAAGAATGCGAGAAGATTCTATACAAGAGATTTTACATAATTAGACACGCGCGTAGCAACGAGTACTATGTTCTTTCAACACTGTTTCACACTGTGCCCCGTTAACTTCATTTACATGTGCGACAAGCGCTGCAGATATGACGGCATTCTAGTTGCAGTGCATCGTTCTGTGAATACACCGTTACTCCTAATTGTGAGTCGACTATCTCGACTTACCTCGGTGCCATCGCCCTCCAAACGCAATGCACGTTCCGGCCAGCTCCATTCTTTCTCGTTGCCAGTAACTCAAAACTTCGATATTTACGGCGCCGCGTTTCGCACTTTTATGCGTCTGTAAACTTTCGCAACAACCGTTTGCGGCTTTAAGACTTTAACGCTTCAGTATGGAGATTTTAACGCGCGAGACTGATAAAAATGAAAAAATATACCGCATCATGCCACTCGTGATAATTCAGTTATAGGGCGATAAGGCGTAAGATCGAAATTATGAGAGCCATAAATAAAAACGGTGGTCAGGTGCAGATGAAAAAGAAATAAATTGTTAAACATAGATGAAGGCAATAAAAAGGTGAACTATACACGATCAAATAATTTCAGAGAACATCATCGATCACATAAATTGAATTTACCATTTAGATATTTCTGTTTCTTAAAATCTTAAATGAAAATTTTGAACATTTACGTTTTTGAAGATTAACACGCCAATTATTTCTTCTATGTTAGATGAGAAAATTAAACTTTTTATAAAAAAAAGATTTAATTTAATCCTATCAATATGTAAATTTGTACGAGTGAGGTCATTGAGCGCCAAAAATTATGCCTTCAATGTCATTATCCAATCTGAAATCCCATCTGTTAAAAGATAGGACATGTGGAGATATAAACTTTTAAAAATTCTGTTGTATATCAGTTTAGGTTCCCTGATAATCAGTATTATAACAGAGGGCGTGACAAGTGATTTCAATGTTTAAACAGTTTTGTGTTATTATATATTTTATTTAAGAGTTATGAGAGAGGAGACACACAATTGGACATCCTCTATATTATTTCAGGTGAATTTTATAGTGTATTTATTCTTTCTTTCCTTTTAATAATTAGACTATGTGTGTTTATAAAAGTCTAGATTATAATTAAATATCTTATCACTAAAAATATACGAAAAACTTATGTTACATTAATTAAGAGTAAAATCATTTATGCATCGACAACATTACAGTATCACTCCATAGCGAAAACATTGTAAGGTTAAATACGTTCATGCTTCCTATGATTTAACGATAACTCCTGTAGTGTAAGAACCGTTCGAACTACGTTCGAAACACTTTTCTAATCGCTCGCGTATTAACCGCTAACAATAAATGGAACTGACATTTGCCTTGTTGCAGGAAATGTCCGTGATTCGTCGAGTTAACTGACCTGTCTATTAGCAGTACATTATCGCCGACCCTCTTATGGCAATAGCCCCACACCGGTATCGCGTTGAAGGTGATGTTAATGGCAGAATACTGAATGGGCGCGTTCGCCATGCCTTCAACACCCTTTCCGCTCACCTGCGTCACGAATTCGCCCTGGAAGTCTGCAGGAAAGTAACAGCCCACCATGAACTGAGGGTCGTAACCTTGAAGGACCTCGCTCGTGATTACGGTGCTGTCTGAAAGGAAAAGGATGAGCCTCTATTAAAGCTGGTTACACCAATTGTTGAAATTCCATGAAAGAAGCAATACGTTTACGAGAAAGTCTTTTTAATTTATTATTTTTAATTTATTAATTCTCATATATTATTATTTATTTTTAAAAATAAATCTTAAGAGATTTATTATTTTATCATTTTAATCACGTAACTTATTATAAACTATAATTTTAAATATTCTTTTGAAATCATTATAAAAACTATTGCAATACAATGCTTTGAGTTGTAGATGAATTATTTGCAAAGACATATTTATTGAAGTAAATTATTGTGAAGGGAATGGACAATCAATTGAGCGAAATGTTACAAATTCTCGTAAATGAAGAGAGAGCATGGGAACGACCTTAATCGACGGCATAACGGATACTTCAATTAATTTTTATATCATGGATGACCTTCAAACCGGAAATACAAATTCATAACGAGTTTCGTACGAACGCTTGAGTAAATAAAAAAATTAATCGTCCGTGACTACAGCTGTATGCGGTCTAGTCAACACGCCACAACTGTTTCAAATCGTTCTAGCGGCAAATTGGCACTAGATTGTGTCATGCGCATTTCAACATCAACAGATGAGCGATAAACGCAAATTTAAATGCCGCATTACAATCGCACTTTCGATTATCGCAATATTAATGTTCTTTAAGCAGAACACATATAATACACACACATAAACAGTCGCATTCAGTATGGTAAACTATCGCATTCAGTATAACTATCTCAAAATGTGTTCACAAGACATGAAATAAAAAAAAGATCCTCTAGAAGATATTAAATGTTGTAATCGAAAACGAAACTGTAATCGTGGATAACTAAACGCGTGTTAAATTTATTCCCCAATTTAGATTTATGTATTGAAAGAGAGAGAAAGATAGATTTAGCAATTATGCGTTTTGACAATGCAAAGTTGTGGCACGCATAACAAATAACTTCGTGCTCTGCCACCCGCATGTCATGCATTCAGCAGTCCGTGAAAGGTCATTAACGTTACCACTAATTGTAAGTGATTTCGAGAGACAGATGTAACGATGACAGGTGGGATCAACAACGAATCCGAAGAGAATATCTACTATTACTTTCTCCTCTCTATATGTAAGAGATATATATATAAGTTACATTTAATAAGATAGATGCGTCAAAGACACAAGATTTATATTCCAACGTAATTTCTATAATTTCTTTCAAGTGAATCTAAGATGAAATGACGATTAGAAATATTTATTTACTTTATTCTTAATATTCGGGCAATTTAAAAGTTTCTCTATTTCTTTCGAATAACATAATGCTTTTAAGCAGCAAAAAACGTATCTATATCATAATAGCTCATGTATATAAATTAATGTTGATGTATATAAATTTTAAAGTTTATTATAATAAAATAAGGATATATAAGAAGATGATAATAATTCATGATGTAAAATGTTGCTTCTTGCAAATTTCTGATTAGCTGAACGAATTTGACTACTGGGTATCCTTGAAATTGTTTCATCTGGTCTTTTTACATCATGAAATAATTGAATTCCAGAAGAGTTCGTCTTCCCACGATCTCAGTCTCAAAAAACTTCATTCACAAAAGTGTGTTCTGCGATGTCTCGCGACGTGTCTAGAGCACACTTGTGAAACACTACGGGGAACTGATTGAAAAACAGTCGGCGTTATATTTGGAAGTCGAGCAAACCGTGTTGCGGTCAATCGGTTGCGGCTTCTCTTTCTCGACCGTCTTTCTCGTTACAGCCAATGTTCGCGCAAAAAGTGCCAGGTAAATTACTTCACGCATGATTCGCAGCATAATGGAGGCCAAACCGCGATCAGAGCTCTGGCAGTCCGCGCCGGTGAATCATTAACGAGGATCATTGTACATATGCATCTCGTCCTTTATATGACTCGCTGAACCACGAACATCCTCTGGTTCTTCCGATGGACCGTGCAGTATTGTAATAGGTAGCGATTTGAAAACCTTGTCGAAAAGAAACGCGGGACTCACACATATGACGAATAAAATGTATCCATCCCAGTTATTATTGTCCTGCGAACTATAATTAACTTCTTCGCGCTGAACGATATCGCGTCGGCAAGAATATTTCGCGCCCGAGGAAACGCATCACGCAACGCATAAAGCAGAAATTTGCGCGCGTGCAAAGAGCGATTGGAGCGTGTCGCAAACGCGTAATCAAAGTGACAACGTTTGTCAGAACGTGAAGTAGGTAGAGAATAGAAAGAGCCGTTGATTAAATGATTAAACGTTAGTTGACGGTGCGTAGGTAGAGCAAGCTTCAACGATGCAAACAAATAACAAACAGCTCCGTATTCCTTATTTAGCTTCAAGGAGGTGTTACCTCAACAGAATTTTTGTTTGACATTTTTATATTAAATCATTAATTGATTGACGCGAAGGAACAGCATAATTCAAAACGAAATATATTCCACAACTTTCTTGATTTTAAATTGTAGTAAAGCGAATCGAAAGAGTGGCGTGCTCTTTAATTATTTCCACGAGCGCGTAGATTCCGGATGTTATTAATTGACTGATAGATAATTAAAGCCGGTGCAACCGCACGAAAGCCTCGGATGTGAGGTACACCGCGCGGGAAAAGAAATAAATGGTACATCGAATAAGAAAAGGTGGCCGCGCTTACGTCCCTTTCATTAAGGACTATACGAACGACGGAAGTAGAATCAAGTTTTTCCCACAAATCCTTCCCAGCAGCATCTATAACGCATATCTTTGTATATACATGTTATTTTCCGACGATTTGCGCGATTAATGCACTTGCGACGATTAAGCAGCAATTGAACGCTCGTCTCGATCTTTTTATGGCTCTCATCATATTCTTGATGAAAGGAGTTCGCTAAAATAGATCTTTTTTTCAAAAATATTATCCTTCAAAAGGATAGACAGATTCATTGCTTAGCTTAATCGGTGCATTATATTTTAACAATATTGTATCGGTTAGAGATTCACAAGAAAAGCAACGTTCGAAATAAAAATTACCGCGAGTAAAATACGCCTTTGCCAAGGAACTTCCTCAATAAAATTTCTTCTAGATCGTGGAACTCTGTCCGACCGATACACATCGCCAGCGCAGTAACGCTTGCATGTAACATTAATTTATCTTGAAACGTAATTTCCGCCTCTAATGGGCGCCATCAATATGACAGTAAGGTGAGTAGGGGAGAAAGAAGGGCGAGAAAATCGGTGCGCGCAATCTCGATCGTATTCAATGTCTTCGCATGTTCGAGAGACGTATCCTCCGGGCGACGCGCAGCTTCGTTCCTCAGAGTTGCATTCCTTGTGCGCAACCGCCCGGTCGACCAACGACGCGTTGCAATTACTCGAAAGACTTTTTGGTTCCGGTAGGAGGCGTTTCTCTCATTCTTTTTCGCGTGTATGTGTCCGCGCTCCACCTTATCGCTTCCCTTCATCTACATAAAGGACGATCAACTGCCCCTCTTACGTGACCTTCATTCCCTATACCGCTCTGCAACTTTATTCGTTCTCTCTTTCTCTCTCTCTCTCTCTCTCTCTCTCTCTCTGAAACCACCAAGTCGGTTCTCTATTATACATACTTCATGATGGTACCAGGTGTTCGCGTGCAGCAGCCTCAATACGTTGAGATTATCGATGGACAGTGGGCAATCGATATCTCATTGCTCTCTTTATGAATCTCCAATCTTATCTAAAAACTACCTCGCATTATAATTAACGAACGTGCATCACGCATCGTCTATCATTTCATGACATATCCATGAGAGATATACTTTGAGACACTTGCTTCCTTTTTCAAAAGTGCCAGGAAAGAGCTACCATGTGGATATTTGCATAATCTCGAGTAATCGTGATCCAGTTCTTTCATAATGATGAATTATACAGCATCAATAATTAATTAAACATTAAAAATCGCTGCAATTTTCTTAGAAAGGTTTCAATCGAGATGTGAGATAAAATTAAATTATATAGTTCCGCAAAAGATAGTTTCTCCTTTGATTTAGATGTTAATTATGATTCTTCGATACGTATTTAGGAGGATGTAGTGCACTCGATTTTCTTATCTAGGAAAGATTATAATATTTTATTTTGATTATTAGATATAATAGATATTCTAAGTATTAACTCGCCATTATCACCTCTTCTCTTCGATAAGATAAAGTTTATTTAACGTGATTTCGTCATTCATATATTTATCTTTAAAAGTTAAATTAATAAAATTTTTTTTTACATTAAATAAACGTGTGATACATTATTTCGAATATTTTAACTGATTCAAACTGTAATTTCTTCCTAGTGACGTAGCAAAAGTTTATCAATTTCATTATAAGATTGTACAATAAAAACTACTTCAATTATAAGACCTGTTCAATTACAAAATGGAGTATAAGTCACTTTCTCGTCGATTCTATTTCCTTTCTCCCGTTCATCTTCGACGTGATTACTCGAGATTTTCTTCAATCTTTCCTTCGACGCTACGCGTTCCTTCGCTGGGCGATTTAAGTTCCATTTCGCGAATTGATACCAGGTGTTCGCGTCCAGGAGGGTCCTTAATCCGTACCTCCTGGTGAATTTTTAATGAGAGCAAGAGGCTCGATATGCCGAATGATTATCGTGGAAATTAGAGGCTTGCGTCTAGAAAAGACGGGGACGCACAACCGTACATTATTTTAAAGAAGGGCTTGTCCCTCCGTTTTATCTCCACCTTTATTAACGATTCTCGAACCAAACATTCGCAAGACGCGAATTTTCTTTTTTAACTACATTTCCTTCAAATAATCAGAAATTCACTCCGATCAAATTCACCTCTATTACTAAAAAGTTTTATTATCCTATCAGCAACACGTAACGACTATAAGCTACTAAGTTATCATACTCGTATAAGAATACAAAAGAATACAATTACGCCAAGGTTTCTTTACACAGCAATAATTTGTTTGAAACCAAATAAAATGCAATCGATGTCGCGAGTGAT